TGTCGGCTGTGGGCGGGATTTGCAGGCTGCCTCTGCTCTTTCTGCCTAGCTCATGCCAAGATCCAGTGTTCTGAGCCATACTGCGCTTCCTATCTTCTGGGGCAGCTACACATTTTTTGGCTCCTCCGTCCCGCGTCTTTACATTGCCAGGCCAAGGAGTAGCTTCCATGGTATTTGCCTAGTGGGGAGTGAGTCCTATCTTTCCCGAAGTGAAACACAAGATACTTTCTACCAAACTTTGCAGGTACAAAGCCATTCATTGTCCATGTAAACAGTGTGATGAAGACGTTAAATGAGGCCATGCCCCAAGGCTCGGCCTCCACTGATGGTGAAACGCTCTGATACTTGCAGGTTGCTCGGGTCCAGCCTTGTGTATTTGAACTCAGACCTGGGCACTGACGCAGGGGGCCCAGGGCTACTGGCATGGGCCCAGAATGCCTCATTAGGGGTTTATGTAGCTCCTAGTGCCCCACACCCTCCCCAGCCTCAGATCCTTCCACACTGGGGATGGGAAGACGGGACACCTTTGTGAAGCGCCATGCTAAGGTTAAGTTAAACAGGGAGCTGGTATATCCCCTTGGTCAGGGGAGAGGGTCTGGTAGGCACTGGGCCTGTGTCCAGCCCTGAGTCTGCATTTTGCTTATGCATACTTTCAAAGACCCAGAGCTGTACTGGGCACAGAGTCCAGAGACTTTGCTGCCTAGTGTCTCAGCTTGTCCATGTGAACTGGGTTCTAAACCTTCTCTGTATCCTTGAGGACTCAACCCTGCCCCCGCCCCCATACACACACAATGAGATTCAGAGGAAAGGGCAGACTTGACCCAGGGAAGATGTTCCCGCAAATCAAACATTTTGGGGAAGGAAGAAGTTGGTGGGGGCAGGGGTGAGGGTCCAAGGAACCCTGATCCCTGAGCTCACGTTCTTCCCTGTAAAATGGAATGAATATCCCAGATCCCTACCTGCAGCTCCTGGGGCCAGATGGGGTTTAATGAGAGAAAGGGTGAATGAGTCAGTCAATGAAGGAAGACGTGCTTTGGGAACTGTTTGGCTCCGCGCTGGTGCCAAGTGGAGATAGAGACAAGGACATCCCAAGTCGGCCCCTCCAACTCCCCCTCCCCCCCCCACGCTGCTTCTGTACCTGGAAACAAGGATCTCATTCCTGCCCGCTCCCCACAGACCACACACACTTAGGTTCCGGACTTCCAAGGTCTCGTTTATTGACGTGCAGAGACCACGGCCTGTAGGGCACGGGGGTTTAGTGGTACTCTCGATCCGTCGGGAGCTGTCCTATGCCACCTGCATCTCAGTCGTGAACTCGTTCCGCCGGTGGGAGGTTAGCACTACCTGG